CCCCCACCACCCAAAAGACGAAGGCAAGTCAATGTGATTTCAATTTAATTAATTACAATTTTTAAGCAATATTTCTCAAAAATAGTGTCAAATTTCCGTCTGAGCAAAATGTCAAAAGTTTCGAAATGACCTTCCTTAAGAAGTTGGTTTTCATTTCCTATTTGTTCCAAGCGGAGGGGTAAAATATTGATCACTTAAGAATTATTACGACTTCTCATATTTCTCGTATGAATATTGATAAGTTAGATTTTTTCGTTTCCTTTTTTCCCGTTGTAATATAATTATTTACCCTTAATCTGCGCGATTTTCTTCTTACTTTACGTCAATATTTTCCTTTCTTTGTTATATTTTATTTATTTTAAGTGTGACGTTTACTGTTCTGAATACTAAAACAAAATAGGCTTTGTCTTCTCTTTTATTAGTTTGCTATTTTATATATTTCATTTGTTTTAACTTATTTGTGTTATTTAGTTATACTATTTTCATTACGTTTTATTCATTACGTTTTCTTTCTTTGTGATTTTATTTCGGCATTTGTTGTCTTTTATTTCTTATTTCATAATTATACTATTTTCGCTGTATTTTATCTATACTATATATTTGTGCTTTTTGCCTTCGCATTTTCTATTTGAGTTTAAGCTTTCCGTTTCTATTCTTTTCAAAAAAAGTAATATAGTTTTTCTCCTCGGGATCAAAATCAGTGCAGAAAACGCTTTATTTTACTAATGTCAATTTCGAGCCAAAATCTTTCCCTTTCGCTCTTGAGTGCCCAACTAAATTGGAATATTAATGACAATACTATTTGCTTTCCATTTTGATTTAGGAATCGATATCACCGATAAAAGTAAGAGAGACGTGCTGTAAATAATAAAATAACTGATAATCCAGCTTGGCCTTGCTATCGATAGAATAAACAGGACCCCTCTTATGTAATAAAACGACAATGAAAGATGAATATCGCGAGCAAACTAACTCAAAATAATTATCTATGACAACGATAGCACTTAGGAATAAGTCCATTATCCAAAGGGCGCGTCACACCGTTATCAGATACTAGCTTTGTGGTTGGGCATACTTAGATATTCTCTTTTTGGTTTAAGTTCTAAAATGTATAGAATATCCCTTACTTCATGAAATGAGTCTTGTGACCCTAGAAATGACAATACGGCTATATTTTCTCTATTGTGCTCAGGCGCTTTTTAATTCAACTTCACGTCAATGCTATTCCATTAACGGATTGATTACGGCCCAACACTTTCTACAGATATTTCGATTGATAATAATTTTATGAAAAACTTGTATGATTTGCGATTACCTACTTCTCGCAGATCAAAAACAAAAGCTCTATAAAGCGAATTCAAATAACAGTTGCCATTTCCTGAAAGGACATAGTCTCTTCGATTGTGTTCCTGCTATGGACTTAATGAGTATTTTCGGGCATCCTTACTATAATCCATTAATGCCAAACTACACCTGTTGTGACAAGCTTTATTCTTTAGAAAATTTCTCATAAGACCGCTCCACCTCAAAGCATATATAAATATAACATTAAAATCTGGCTTAATGATTAAAGCGATGAAAGGTGAACCGTTGATATTGGGTTCAATCACTGTGTTGAGTGCTGATCTTGTAAAAATAAAACATTAAATGCCTTTGCCTCGCCAATTGATCCCCAAATCTCGATCAATTACTAAAACTCAACCCAAGATAGACTTTTATTGCTATAAAATATTGCTTGGTTTAACTATAAAGCCCAAACAACCAGATATTAAGTGAATTTAAGCCCATACGAACACCAAGCAATAACTAGATGATGATACAGAAGATTGGATTTCAAAATATTGAACGTTTACTGAATTGAAATCTAAATAATTGGCTAGAGGAAGTGGAAAAAAATCACACATATATATTTAATGCCCGCAATATAGTATTACCCACATATATTTCATTGTTTAATTTGTATACTTTTATTCATCTTCTTCTATCCTTTTATTCTTCTTAATTCTTTTATTTATATTCACAAAGAGTAGTAAAGAATGGTCACGTATTACTAGATCTATTTTCAACAACCAATCAGATTTCGTGCTATATATATATCACTCGACCGATATTTATAATTGACGCGGATTGAATATCCAAATCTTAGTATTATATTGGAAGCTAAGTTTTGAATTTTCCAGTTTAGTTTCTAACTGATATATATCACACGTGTGAATGTTGTTTTCTTGATTCAGAGAAGAGATATAACACTAGAAGGCAAATATTATCACACTCTATTTACCAACTTGTATCAGAACAGGAGTCAAACGAACAATGAATAGAAATGGAATTTTTGGAACTAGATCTGTTGCCCGTGTCACCGCTGACGTAAAATGAACAATGTCTTAAGCTTCTAATGTTCGATAAAAATAAAATAAACAAAAAAGGAAAAAAGGAAAGAAAAAAGAAGGAATAGGAAAAAGACTTGAAAAGAATACTAATTAGTAAAACACATAAGGACAATGTTTTCAAAAACTAATAAATAAAATCAAAAGAGCATAATTAATGCTCATATTTTATACTCTCTTGAAACATGAAAACCTTGGAAAAACTGTAAACCAGATTTTAGATTTTTTACTGGCGATATACGAGCTGCAGTTTTTTAAACCCCCCCAAAAAATTACGACACTATTTCTCAGATTTGGATTCATCAGTCGAGACTCGAATTGATAGATCCTTTCAGTGATGGTACATGACGTGTTGTCGGCAAGACTGTGGGCCAAGCCAAATTATGCGGACCGAAGCAAAATATGTTGAAATACGTGAGAGACAAAACAAGATCAACAATGGTAACCTTGGCCATGGTTCTAAAAAGTGGTTGGATGGCTTGATTATTGGGTCAAAAGTGAATAAAAACAGCAATGGCGCGATCTTCAAAGAAAATACTTCCATGCTGAAATGGCTCAAAATAGTTTGAAGAATGTTTTTACAGGTAAAAAGATTTTCTAAGAAGTTCAAGTATAAGGAGAGTTTATATCTTTGACATTGCGAAGTGTGTAATTATAGGTAAATGCACACTGAAATAGTTACCATGGTAACGCTCAAGCGTGGATTTTTTAGGAGAAAAAGCGCGCTGATTGGTCAGCCTGTCTTACCTTCCACGAGCGATGTGAGTAGAGTCACTTGAGCGGCTTTTCTACGACCAGCAGGCAATGAAAGTCCTATTTTGTCAAGCTTATCTCGAAGGCATTTACCACCATTTTTCGATTTCGCCCTGAAAAAAAAATCAAATGACAATGTAAATAATGTTTAACTAGTTAAATTTAGATTATAATCTTTCCCCCCCTTGGTTAACTATTGATATTTGCTCTTGAATTTGATATATATACGGTGTTGTATTTATTGATCTTCCCCCTGTTGATACAGATAGTAAACCTCAACATACATAGACTTATTGAAACGCTAATTGTTCGTCAAACATTGGGAATTTAATAATGAACTCAACACCAAACATTGATGTCCCTATTCTTGATAACAAAGCCCTCCGTACCGTCGGCAAAGTCAAAGACTAAGGCCAGAATTTTCCTGAGAAAGAAAGATTGTTGAAAATTGTGTGGCATTTCTGAAGTGGTATTTTGTCGGTAAGAGAAAAAAATTAAGTGGTGGCCGTAAGTGTATTTTTATTGCTGATGTCGGAGACAATAAAGTTTTTAGAGAAGAAAAATAATTGTAGAGTGTCGGCCAGTGATTAATGGACTATCATTCCAAAAAAGAAAGAAAGACGACGAAGTTTAATTCCAAGAAACGATTAAGAATTTGCTTTGTTTTCCAAAAGGTTTTTTTCCACCATCTCACGAGTTTTCGTTTTTCCCACGCTTAAGTTCGAAGTTGAAGGCTAAGTTCAGATTATTTTGCCGGTAGTAGCAAAATGCTCTACAATCGACTGGAATAGATTGAAAAAAGCTTTTAAAAAATTATACCAATTTGTATTCTCCGAGTCTATTGGGTTGGATGTTTTATTTTTACAATAAGACGGAAAATCATTGACGCTAAATGTCAAAATGGGTTAATTCCACCTTAAAGATTTTAAGTTTGGGTTTTTATGTGTTTTAATTTTCCTCTTCCAAAATGAAAATTACGAATTCTGATAAATTTATTGTGATTTTGGATTTTTTGTAATCTTCGGAGTTGAACTAAAGAGTAATCAGTCTAAAAAGTATTGTAATGAATTATTAGCACAAAATAATACCTAGCGATTTCATATAATATTTTGGGAAGAGAATATTAATAAAGGCAAGGCTTAACTATCGCAATAGTTGTGGCTACATTGGTAGATATTACATCCCAGAAAGAATGTAAGATTTTATGTTTCAATAAATTTAGGGTTTAAATTTTAAGTTGCAGTTTTGATTTCACGGAGTTTCCTATCCCATTACACTAGCGGATGTATATGTCAGAAACAGTTCCTATTATAAAGCTCGATTGAATTCATCCTGTTGAATAGCCAAGATGAAATTGCCCCCATTTTACAGTATAGAAGACATTTCTTGAAATCTAATCCTTCTTTTTGTGTTCGTTTTAAGTACTTTTATCCTCTTAAGAATTATTATTCAGTAAAATTATCGGGGACAGATTTGCTAAGACAAGAAGAGCTTAAGGACGTGTAGAGACGATGGAAAAAAAGATTCGATAAAGTTTGTAAAACGCCTTGTTTCGCGCGCTGATCCTTTTGTCACGGGCTCATGAGAACTGAACACCTTTTTTCATGCCCATGTTCTTCAGTAAAACAGCACAAAAGGACTTCAAAGACTACCCATATAGACCACTTTAACGGTGCATTTTTAAGTGAGCAGCTCGACTCTAAAAGACGCCGACTAATGCTATTCACTAAATTATCGCCAGATCGTCGACTCTTTGGAACAAATCACACGATCTCTTATAGATGTAGCAATCTGAGGACGAGCCCTGTGGCCATGAATGTACGTTCATCGATCAGTCCTTGAGGCGATGCGATAACTGTATTGTGTGAATTTAGTTCTGCTAATGTGACCTCAATGAATCAGTAAGACTGCGAAAATGAGTGTTATCCTCTGTTATTTTCTTAGCTTTTGTTCCCTGGACACAAAATGAGATTTTTGGAGGCATAACGCTTTGAGACTATTTCTGAAACATCTGGTCTGATTTTTGATGCGTGTGGCGAGCTCTTCTTCTCCAAAGCCCGCAGGCGAGGGAATTCAAAAAAATTTTACAACGGAGTATATATGCATTATCAAGAATCTATTTTAGCCGTATTATTGAATTTGTTCTCTTTGATGGTTCAAAAGCCGACCAGCCTGAGTAGTATAGTGGCCCCGCCCCGACAAATGGTTTTGCAATCTATTACCAGCAAAAGCGCGATGATTTGACAAAAACTATAAACGCTAAAACATGGCTGCAGGCATTCTATGAAAAAGCCTAAACATTTTATTGGTGTAAACGAGGAAAAAGAGGCTTAGTTTTGGTGATGTGACTTTAGACAAGACTGTAAATGCCAGCGCGAGTCCACTAGAAAATGTGACTTGAGAATTAATGAAACTTGTCGTTGCGGAGAGTGTTTTCTTTGTAAAGTTTAAAATCCTATTATAGAATAAAGAAAATTACTCTTGGACAAAAGAAAAGAGTACAAGAAAATTGGATTCAAACTGAGTTTCAAAATAGGAAATCTTTGCAGGGTCTTTTCAAAACTCATTATTCCTTGAATGCTTTAGACCAAACAAGAACAAAAGCTCGGGCTATTTGTTTTCGTATTTGGATTATGTAAATGCGGATTTGTATGTCTCTTTCTAGCTGGCGTAGCGTATTTTCTTTGCGCGCAAACCAACGGAGACACAAGAGGCTGTGTTGCGGCTTTGTCTATCCTAGTGACACTATGAGAAATGGGGGCAGTTTTGCCCTAGGTGATCCGCGCAGTTCTTAGTCCTCCAGCACGCGATGTCAATGGTCTTTTTTAAATTACGCTTTAATTGTCTAATGCTTTGTTAATGTGTAGAAAAAAACCAGCCAGAATGCCAAAGTTAGAGAAAAGGGCCGGTTCTTAGTACAGTATGGGGTGGAAGTATTATGATAAAAAGAACACACTACTTTTCCTTTTCCCTTTGTCATTTGTTTCTACTCTACGACTTAGGCCTGTGTTTTCACATTTGAGGCTTCTCGTTTTTCACGGATCTGTAATTACTACCACATGTGAGACCGAAATAGGAGTATTAAATCATATAGGACCGCTAGCAAAAACAACGCTATAATACATTGGTCAACATCAATGTTTTCCAAACAAACACACGATAATTGGGCGAATAAAAGGCCTTCAAGATTAGTACAACGAAAACAAATTCAAACACGAAGAAAAAAGAAAGGAGAAAGCCAAATATTAGGAATAAAGCATCTAAAATTTGAGGCCCCCCGTTGGAGTTAATAGAGCATTGGAATAGGAAGAAAAGCATCAATAATCTCATTTTCATCTGAATGAAAAAGTGTTGAAGGGTGGTCAAAACTAAAGAGATAACGCAAAGGCGATTGTGGGTAGCCTGACGCGGGAAATATAGACCAATTCTCTCGAAAATAACACCATTTTGACATTAAGTCAACAACTTATGATTTTTAAATATATCAAGAATGCACTCGTTAATCGCTGTTATGACTTTTGGGTATGCTTATTTGATGATGGTTCTAGAGGAATCGATTTAGAAAGTTACGAAGCAAAATACGACTTAAATGTCAATGATTTTTCATGTTGCTTACCTTCGTAGAACACCGCCTAAAAGAGACGCATTCAAGCACTCTGGATGCGACAGTCTCCGACGTATTTCACCAACAGTAACTTTGTATTTTGACGTTGAGCTGAGAAGTGAAAGTCTTCCCGGAACACAGCAGAAAACATCAGAAGGATGAACTGTGCCATCACCATTTTCGTCTTCTTTGTTTTCTTGTTCGTGATGTTTCTTAATGACCGGACGAGAAAGGGATAAAACTGGAAGAATATAGAAAAAAAGGAGCAAACAAAAATGAATGAAATTTATTTCAAAAAATGATTTTCACTCAGAGAGCCAGAGGCGAAAAAAGAATAGGAAACGTGTAAAGACATGAATAAAAGGTTGAATAATAGAGTATTAAAAGGGGAATAAAAAAGTCGAAATTGGGGTCAACAGTTTATGGGAATTTCTAAAGTCAATGGTAAAGAAAAGGAAGTGAAAACGAAAAGACAGAAAAATGAATATATGGAGTTGTCGTCGCTTCATCACTTTTTGTTTTATCTGAAGTGAGTCTTAATAAAAAATTACGAAAATTAGAATTGATAAAGACGAAAAAAGTGGTAACTTGAAAAGTTGGTCAATATTTTTAAGTATCGCACTAATAACGAATAGAGCACGAAGACTTTGTAGCGATACTTTAATTCCTATATATAAAAACATTCTTTAAAAAGAAATGTGTCAAGAAAAATACATTATTGATGGCAAACAATTGGATGTTAAATGTCTTAGGATTAGGCTTCTTACTAAGGTCGTTTTGATGTTGTTAAAGCTTGAATCAAACACGGAAAAAGAACTGTCTATCACAGAACTAAACGAAGCGCCAGCCTTAAGACACAATATAGAAAATACAACAGATAAGATTGCCTATGCTTCAATGATAAATCTCTTTATTTTTATTTGAAAATAAAAACGCACATCACATGTTGCTCTTTTTGTCTTTAAGACATGGAGACTCTCATATACCAACTAAAAAAAAGCTCGAAAGTGTATGGAGTCGTTTTTTTGTTATTCATCGATTTTTCTTAATGAATCGTTTATCAGACAATCTTCGATTTGAAGTTGTATTGGTTTTATATTTTAAGGTGATGACTCTATAATACGTGTTTTCTTTCCCTGGTGAATGTGTCCATCACGTTTTGTATAGTGATCTTCACCAGTACGCTCTATAACACAGTGCGTCGAATACCTATCCACTCTGATCAAAATCCTCAGGCATTATGTAGTTTAAATAGGCGATTGATCACGAAACATCGAATTTTTTATTCCAAGAGTTGAAAAGTTGGGGCTACAATGTACTTTTGGCTTTTTTTGTCAAGGAGTTTTGATTGCATGTTAAGCAGAACAGCTAAAGGGGGTATATAACACTACATGTTATTGCTCTTCACACTGTGATTCTATAAAAAGAGCTAAAAGGTTTTTGCCTGCCTCGATAAAAGAACCGGACCTCAGTGAACGGAAAGCATCCTTAAAGCGGTAGATTTGTGATATAAATTGTATTTTTTTTTTCGTAGGAAAAGCAGGTGCAACAAGCGAGCGAGTTCTATTGCGTTGATGATCCGTAATAAGGACTGTCTTGAATTACGGCTAGTAATCATAATTAGAGAGAAAAAGCCTCAAGCCATAGCTAAACCAAAACAATTTCATATCCACTCACACCAACTTCCCCCCTACAAAATATATATATTATACCAAGGAAAATACAAGCGAGATAAACTGACTTAAGATTTTGGGCCTCTTTATTCCAAATGCGTCTGGAAATGACTCTATATGATGGCATCCACAAAAATACTACACAATGAAAAATAATGTCTCTGCTAGAAATTTCACATTAAAAAAATACTTCATCCAAATTCATTTTCCAAGGAAGAAGAAAAGATATATTTTTTCGTGGTTGTTAAAGTAAAAATAAATTAAAAGTTTGAAAATGTTAGTGCTTGTTTGGGGTTGTGAATTTAATTGTAGACATCACTTTACACCATTTCTGACACCTCTGCTTTAGCCGTTTTCTTTTCTTGATGTCTTTTTTACTAAAGGATCTAAAGGATGATAACGAGAGCTCAAACCTACCTTCTCTGCTGTTGGAGGTATGATTGGAAGTTGTGTTTCCATTCTTTGAACTAATCCCCATAGAATGATTCTAGAAGATGAACAAAAACTGCACTTTAGAAATCTTTATAATTTCAACTATAGCATGTCTTTTAAAGGAGTTTAATAGTTTAGTAAAATTTCCAATCATTATTGAAACAGCAAACCATTTACTCTAACAGACAATAAAATATCTGGATAAAGATTTGAATTCCATTAATTTTTATTTCTTGCCAATGAAAAAACAGTGAGAAGGCTACAACCTATAATTGCATCCAGTATTCTTTTGCAAAAAAGCTGCACTCTATGATTTTGGACATCAAACGCTATTAAACATATATATATATCATGGAATCTAACTGAAGAGAATCGACTTCTAAGAGACTGTTCAAAGAAAGAGAGAGAAGAAACAAGATTGAAAAGATTCTTGAGAAACTTCTAGAAGGTATTGAACATCCTTCTTCTGTGAAGCATGCCGTTTGGACTTTTTGTTAATAGATGTTCAGTCATAGAGTAGCAGGTAGAAAATTTTAAACTATGGTAGGTATACTTTTAAAGAGAAGATTATTGGGTTGACTTTAAGAAGGCCGGTGAAGTTGACTTTGTAGTGGCCACTCTAAATACACAATAAAAATCATTCACTGTAAAACCATTGAATAAATACATGCTATTTTTCTGTCTGCTTGAGAAAGACCAAGTTCACAATGGATGGAACCCAGCATTTTATTTTCTGTTTTGAATTACTGAATATACTTTACAAAGAGTTTCCTTATAAATTGGGCTTGAATATACTGGCACTCCTGAATGCCTTCTGCGAACCAAGATCAGAGACAAAAGATCTCTAGGAAAACTACCAGAAGCTGTTAAGAACAACAACTTTCCATTGTCGAGCCACCATTACCGTGGTGTAGTTTTGTAAAGTTTGAATGTTGAGCTTATGTAGCGCTATAAGATAAACTTTTTGGGCTATAACCTCAGGGCTAAAAGTATTCCACTGTCTGCGAAATTACTCCCTACCGAGTGGACTGTGTAATAACGACGGGGACAAGTTTAAACAACCAGTCGAAAAAATCATTACAACACAGTCAAACGTCTTCTTCTCTGCGATGCCACCACAATCGTACACTTTACGACTAGCAGGTTCGAAGATGTCACCTACTCTTAAGGATAACTAAAACCATCAATAAAAGTTCTTTCTAAGAGTGGGTTAACTTGATGCTAATGAGGCTCTTGTGAGCAATACTGGAACCATAGTTCTACAGCGGGCTGGAGCTATGAACAACTACTTGCCTAGTACAGAAGAAGTTTCGATATCCCCTCTGCAATTGCCTGAACCTATTTCTGTGCTATAGGACTTGTGGAGTACTTTCTTACAATTCAAATCTTTGTACAAGAAAGGTGCTATATATTCCAAAGAATAAAAGTATCTACTCGAAAGAGTCTTTGAACTGGAGTGTTTTTCACTTTAAATCCATTGGGAAGGTATTCTTGATTTAACTCGTTTATTCTTTATAAGCATTAAACTTCTACTCTTAGCGAAGGATTTTCTGATAATCCACCTTGTTTTGTTTCAGTTTCGCGTGTTATTTTATAGAAAATGAAAAGATTTAGTCAGGATTTCTTGGTTTCCTATTCAAAGTTGCTAACAGCCAGAGGGAAGCTTACGGTAATTGCTTGGTGGCCTTTTGTTTCACAAACCGACTTTAAATGATATTCTTTAAGGTCATATTATCATCGAAAAAGCAACGTTGCGAAGAGTCATTCCAACCAGTGTTTGCTTTAGCGATTCATCTCAAGAGATCAAAAATTCCGAAGTTTTTTAAATCAGAAAATATACTTCTATTATAATTTTAAAAAAATGAGTACGAGATCCAAGTCACAAGATCAGCCAACAACTGCACACGTTCTTTCTCTCACGAACTCTTAGGTAGATTATTCGGTACCTTGGCTCATACTCAAGCATTAAACTAGCTCCAATATTTGCGAGGAAAGTTTTTACGCTTTATTGCCGTCCTTATCAATACTTTTCATCCAGTATAGAAAAATAAATCTTTCTTAAAATGACAACAGAGATGAATTGGTGTTGAATGAAGTGTGAAACATGCGCTTCTTGCTATCCGGCTGCAGTCTGTGGTCACGGCCCGTGAAGACAATGTTACACTCAAACATCTTTTACCGACAAATCGTTTCTGCCGCTTTTTTTCTGTGTAGAAAGATAGGATCCTAAAGGATTCCTTCGCATAGTCGCACAAAATCAGCCCTAAGAGCAATGGCGCTGTGAAACTGCGAATTGTGTCACGCTTAAAACGCTTGTTTGGATCTGTGAATGTAGTAAACACTAAAGACAAGTAGCAACACTATGCCTACGAATACCTTAGCCCAGCACGGAAGAAACCTCATACGACTTTGTTTTGATAATCCCTACTATCAAACCAAACTATAAAGACACCATATAAACAAATACATAGATAAACCGTGGACCAAGACGCAAAGGTATCGTACTCGTACCTGAAAGTATATCTCCAAATAGCCTTTCAATAGTATCGATTGCAAATACGCTTCAGTTAATCGGCCTTAGTGTGAAGTAGGTAAACCTCGACAACACTTTTATACAATGGTGAGGTGTGAAAACGGTATTTATAATTTGCTCTTTTATTGAGTACCTGTGAATCCGGCGGCATCGGTAGTCCAGCCGAAGGAACTCCAGTCATAGACTCTGGCCCAAACCGCAACATATCATGCCTTCTTGTGGCACTAAAAAGTTCATCCCTTCGTCTTGCATGCTCTAGTGACGAAGAGAACTGGTTAATGTGGACGGGTTGTAAAGGATCCAAATCGTCCGCTCTCTGTCTCAACCCAAGGTGTCTTCCCTGATGTGGAACTGCGACTTGCGAATGGCTGTTCGGAAGAACTTGATGCTGTGAAGCAGGATGAAAGCTTGGAGGTCCTTGTCCAAACTGTTGTGAGTGAGAAGTTTGGAATGGTTCGAGGCCATGCTGAAAGTCGAACCTGGGTTGTTGCTGTTGATAGTGCAGTGGATTGTACTGCGAAGGATAGTACTGATGTGCTTGGGGCTGCATTGGAGGGGGTAGGACTTCCCTATAGTCGTGGTGTGTTGTTGGTGAATGAGAAAGTCTTGGTGCACAGGCTACAAGGGCAGCGCTTGTGGCAATATTCCCTGAAGTCACTATTTCATTGCTACTAGCAGTGCTCACGCAGTGTAGTCCTAATCCACGATCCTGTAAAGTGGACAAACATGAGGATTTAATAAGGCTATTATCAAATAAACATAACATGCACGATAGTAGGCAAGCAGCGGCCACTTGCCGTGCTGGCCCGCAGCAGTCTTTGTCAACTTATAGTTAAGAAACAAAGCTCTATTCTCGGTAAATCCACTCGCCAAATTGCTTACCGACATGCTGTAGACCGGCTTAGCCGTGATAAGGCCCTATTTCGGTTGAACGATAGGTCAAGTGCGTTGTAGACAAGTGCGAACAGTACGAAGGAGGCTCGAACGCTCACGGTTTTCACACATTTAAGATGGTTTTGATTCTTACCTCGCTGTTGATCAAGTCGAAGGCGGATGTGGAAGTCTCAGGTCGCTTTGAATAAGATGAATTCGGAGATATCGGAGTTAACGGAGGGGACAAATCACGATGATGTGAGCGTTTTCTCTTAGTTCCCACTACTTGCCTCAATGCTGCCTGGCTTGGACTGTTAGCTCCCAGCGGATCCAACTGAGTTGTCATAATTAAGCTTAATTCGCGCTCAATGCAAAATGTTTTGTAACCTCGGGGCTGTAGGAGTCGGCGGCGTTAAACGTCAATACTGTTACAAAAAAATCTCTATGTGCCCAAACAGTGCTCTACAGCAATGAACATGTCAGGGACTGCACCAATTAACGCCTCAGGGACAAATTGAAAGCCGCGCTCGGGAGTGTTCGGCTCAGTTAGGAATATCGTGCAGCGGCGATCCTTTGTGTTTCGTATGGTTTACCGATCACTTTTCAAAGGTTGCTTTCGGGAATTGACAAGCGCTTGAGTGGCAAGCCAGACAGATTTTAATTATTTTCTGTCGTATTAAAGTTTCCAATTATTTGCAAATCAATTGAGACCCCCTGTTGGTTTATAGTACTTGTGAACTCGTCACCTTATTCGTGATTGGCAGATTATAAAGGCAAATCGCATGATAATGCCATCCAACACCCAATAATCTTCAGAATATAAACAAGCAGGCGGAGCTTTGTCACAATTTTCACTAGACCTTTGTGTATACTCTCGTATATTCGAGTAGGGGAAGGCGTGAGGAAGCCAAGTTACGTATGAGCACAAAACCGTTCAACCACGACACGTCAGCCTGAAATTGTTCAACGTTTTCACTGATACACACAAGTCTGTGAGCGCTATCCTTTCTGACAAGGGCCCACACCACCTTACATTGTTTGCAAATCGTAAACGTACTGGCTGATTGGTTTTTCTAATGAATCTTGACAAAATGCTTCCTGAGTCGTGACGGCCCTACTGCACCGTGGATGTTCTAAATTATAGTCGATTAGATGTCGGTACACTTTGAACTTTCCTTGAATATCATAACATGATAACGAGTGCCACCAGCACTCCCACACCAACCATTTGGGTGACCAGACTGATTGCTCTTAAAGGACCAGACTCATAATCGTTAGTGAGAAAAAGTTTTTTTCTAATGAAATAGGAAGGAGAACAAGAATGAAATGTCGCACACACGCTTATCTCACGATGCCATTCTAATCATCTACCATCTCTCTTACTCACATTAGTTCAATCAGAAGTGTTTGTCCTTTAGTTCATGACGTTCAATGATAATAATAAGTAGAGGGACCTAGGAACGGAGAACCTTGCCTCCGGCCCGCAATCTATGCTTGGATTCGTTTAATTATTCAGTAAATAGGTTCTTTTATATTATTATGTCAGCAAGTTCCCTTAATGACTCTCATACTTCACAACATGATCAGATGAAGTTTTGAGTCCCCTCTAACCAGTCGAGTGTAAAACTCAAATATAACGAAATCGAAAACAATTCATCGAGCTAAGCCCCGCTGAGGATTGAAAGGGTTCCTCATCAGGTCATCCTAGCAACAGTTATTTTAGTATTACTAATGAACATGAGTGATTTTCACTCAAGGGTTGTGTTGAAACAATTTCGTGCTTTATGCAAGTGCTTAAGTTTTTAAAAAAAATGAGAAAAAATCTCGATATAATTAATACGAATCGTTAAACCGGATATATTGGTACTCCTGGATCAATATTAGTCAAGCGAGAGATAAACTAGTCGAGATGAATTGCTAGGGTTATTTCATCGTTTGTTTACTTGCTATTGAGTGTGATTTCTTCAGTAAATACTTAGGTAAGCATATCATATCATCATATCATGAGTAAAGACTTTTGAAATCATTCTTAACAGACAAAGGAATATGTCATTAATCGTATTGACGGCGCGTTTCGCTGCTTGCGTGTTAAATGCTGAACTGATTCGTCAATTGAAAGAATCTTAGTTCTAATACATCGGCACCCCATCGAGAGGGACCTTTTTGCAGTTGCATTATGATATCATACGTCCCCATAGCTATTGACCAAAATAAACTGTGTTAGGTTAGTCGTCGTTGTCTGGAGAATTTATACACAGTTCAGGTATGTCTTTCACCGGCTCGGCGCATATTGAATGAATCACCGTCGCCAAGGTATGGAAATTGAGGCATCCAAACGTTCGCTCAACCAAGAGTCACGAAAACTCTTTCATGCTCAATATTACACTTTTGACAGCGATTGCTGATTCTTTGAGTACTCAAGTAGAATTTGACGCCAATCTTTAAGTTATTATTCGATAACTAGGTAAAAAAAGGAGCACTGCGCGATTATTTCAGATGGTATTAGCATATTTGACCGACAAGTTAGACAATAGACTAGCGTTTTAGGACTAAACCAAGTGACTTAATGTGAGAAAGATATTTATTAGTCTTTGTGTTTTTACACCTTTTTTAAAGCATCGAATATGGTTTTTTATAGATTAAAATCCACGCGAACGTCAATCAGTTTTTTAAGAGAGTCGACTTTTTTATGTTGTTCAAATTATTTCCTGCTAGTCGCCGGTCGATCGCGTAATGCGTTCGTCGTCTGCAGAGCGTCAATATAGAACGCATCTAAGCCAGCTTACTTTACCGTTTGAAGTGGATGAGTTATACGATCGCTGATCGCTTGTTGGTGCTAATTGGTACTTATTCTAGTACTGCCTTACTTACTCTTGACAACTTTGTCACCTCACTCGAATGGAACAAGTTCAAATAATAACGTGCTTAACTTTAGTGCCTTTTTGTTTGTTCAATCAACACGAGCAGCGTCAACAAAAGACGGATATAGGAACCCCTCTTACGTACACCTCTCACAATCGCATTACCGCAGCGCTTTCCATTCAGTATTACAACTCCGTAATGAGAAAAAGGGTCGTCCGTTGTTCAAGTTTAACAAGCCTAATGTTTTCGCACCTCATTCTCTAAGATAAATATCATATCCAAATATTTGCTATTCAATATCTCTATTGACATTCGGGCGCTCGGCGTAATGTTATTGTTTGGCGTTGTCGGCACTTCTTAAAATCACTTTCGTATTTTAAGAAAATCCAGCACACGAGCCGGAAGTTTCCCAAGTATTTGTGTTATCCGAGATGTTGGCCAAAGTACACTTAGAGATAAAACCGCTTAACGTCTTTTTAGTTGGGCAAAAAGCAGATTATCTGTATGGGTTTTTTCTGACTGAGTTGCCGATCATTTTGTGGTCGCGTTCGCCAACAGTGATACTATATATTATTTTGCTAGGCGAGTGTTAGGCGCTAAAGGCAATTAGCCACCGCTGCGTTGACTGTTTGTTTGTTAAGAATCAATAAATACTGACAAGTGAAGGTTTGACACCATCAACGTCCGAGTAGTCGTACACATGGGCCGACAGACAAGCGTATAAGTAAAGATGTCCATTATGGGACATGAAGTTTAGAACGCCGACTCCGTTTAATGCTTCAAAACTAGTACACTATACAAAATGCACAACGTATTTGGGAAAAGTGCAGAAGTTAAAAGTTATCGAAGTTTTGAAAATAATGTTTTATGTCTTACCCGGGTGCGATAATCAGTTAGGGCCTGCGGCAAGCGAGCGTCCATCGGTTGAACGGTGCGACGTTTAACTGAAGTGCTTCTTTCCACACTTCACTTCCATCTGTAGTCATGGAACCTACATTTCCACAATCAAAAATTTTGAAAAAAAGGCAAATTAATGCATCAAAATTATATATTATCCTCCCCCGTTGGACACACACACACACACAAAAATAAAATAAAATAAAAAATAAAGTTATATTCAAAAGCATCTATGAACCCTATAACTTTCGGAGAAAATTTTTGAGTTCATCGATGTAAAAATCGAAGTATGACGAGTTGAGTGAAGGCGACGTGCGGAGAAAAATTACGGTTTATAAATACGGTTCAGGGCCTTAGGGTTGGAGAATAAACTGTATCAAAGAAAACAGAATAGCTATGAATGATAGTTTTTACCGTTTTGGAAACTTTCAATTCCTTAATATAATCCATGCATGTGCCTAAGTATTTGAATAGAATTTGAACAAGCGGAACAATATGGAAATTAAGGAGTTAAAATGGTGTTTTTTTCTCTTTTTTTAATCGGGGTCTTAAGCTTTGTGAAGTATGCTGAATTTAAGACAAAAAACGAGCTCGATGCTTAAGGCATTGAAGTTTTCTTTTTTGAATCGTTTTTAGACGCTTAGGTTTTTTTTTTTTTTACACAGTTCACTATGTTTATGTCGTTTTGAATGGTATGACATAAGTGGCCTTTCGGTCCCGAGTGCTTGGCCTTGTCAAATACACCAGTCATTCTCTGTCATCTATTCATTCGTAACACTAGATATATCGTAAACACTGCACAACCAGGAACTAGTAAAGAAAACTCTCAGTCATGAGCAATTATTTAGACACTGAAAAAGGATAGACCTATTGGACTCTGCTGAGAAGGAAACAAATGAATTTATCATATGATATGATCCCCGAATTCTAAAGCGCTTTTTGTTCACGCGATTATGTTGTTAAGAAAAGTTAATTTCCACACAAGCGAAAATGATTTCCAAGGGGATTTTGTTAGAGCGAGCAAAACCTTGTTTTCTTGATTTGATTCCCGTTTGTTCATGATTGAAAACTTCATATTCGTATATAGTTAATCATGCTTTGTCAATACAAGTGACAGATATACGCATTGGGATCGATTATTATTCTTGTCAAATAATGATAGGAAGACGACACTAAATCGAGAGCTGAATTTCCTCGAGAATTCCCTCGTAAGCCAGTTTTATACTTCATTAAGAAAAAACACATACGCGATACGAAGGAGAAAAAAACAGATGAGAGAAATGTTGACGGCACTCAAGTCCTCGTAAGTACTGAAAGATGCTATCGGCAAAAGTCTTGGAGCTTTCCATCACACTGGTACAAGGAAAGGCACGCTAAAAAAATATTCAAAGATCAATCGATAATGATAACCCTTTCCCCCCTCATTTAAAAGATGATATAATCTGCTGGAAGGGTCTTTTAAAAGAGGAAAAAAAAATTCTTAGACGGGAATTAAATATATAAAATGTCAATGATCTTATGTTCTGGGATAAGGTACTTAAAGGTGTTTTAATACAACCATATCGAGTCATAAGTCTAAGGCCATAGTTTTCGGATTTCGTGCCTTGAATAAACGCCCACTATTGTGTAGAAGAGATATGCTTTCCTATTGTTATCTCGATGTGAATATCACCGGGATTTGCCGCTTTTGTTTCCTAACCCCAAACAGATGCTAACAACGTATTCTAAAAGTAGCTTGGCTATCTCAAACTCCACCAATCGTGGTCGAGGCCTCAAGAGCACCGCTAATGACGCTGTGAATGTATTTGAAAATATCTAGAAAGGTAACAGACGGACTAGCAGCCGGAATACATCGAATACATCATCATGTTTGCTTTCAACGCCACCCTTGGTCGAATTATACAGACATCTAGTCGTGAATATTGGCCCCATAGATAGTCGTTTGTGAGGCCTTAGTCGGTTTATGCTGCAAATTAAGGACACGTGTTTGAAAATGTTGATGTACCGAGAATCGAAACATTTGACCAACTCAGTCCTCTGTTATGTTATAGTTCGGTAATCGTGTTTCCCTTTCTTATCCAATTTCCTGTTTTTCCTTGTGTGTTTATTATTATCGTTCCCTTTTGCCTTTTTCAATGGCTATGTTAATTCACAATTGCACGTGGCTTAAGGTGAATTCTTTTTTTCGATCCCTAAGGAGCTTTTAGGCACCATGGCAACGTATTCAAGGCTGGATGAGTATATTTCAGCAGGTCCACTTAGCCTAAAAGGAGGCACTCCAACAAGTAAAAGGCCTACGAACAGGTGGTTGTTCTCAATACAAGAAATCGTCAATGAAACTTGTAATGACTAGGACCGCTTTTAATAAACCGCTAATAGCTCAAATACAACAACACAGCGTATATTTCGCAACTGAAGGGTAATACCAATGGAAACAGGGGGAGCACCCTCTAGGCACAATTAAATCTCTCTCACAACTAAGTCGTTCCTACTTGAGTCGATAATTGTTTCGTACGACGCAATATCGAGGACTGATATCTAGTTGAATGTTTTTAATGATGATTAATGTCGACAAAGACCCAGAAAACAGGATTTTTTTCCTAACCACTGCTCTTGAGACAATTGGTGAAAAGCGTGCAAATTGAAAATGATAGATAAAACAATGCGAAGACGAGTGAAAGGAGACTTTTGATGAAATCGGTCGACAAAAATAGAAAAAGAATTTTTGGGCGTTTAAAAAACATAAAAAGGAAACAAGAGAGAGAGAGAGGAAAGAAAAGCCCCAAAAAACGAGTCTTTCACGAGTACACATTAGAAAACGCGCATAAACGATTCATACACTTAAGCTAGTATTTGAAATTTGTTTTTTAATCAGTTGAGGATTATTGTTTTCTGAAACTGACACTCATTCTTTGTTTCTTAATTCCCCGAACTTTTAAAATTGAAATCTCTTTTTTCTCTCATCTAAATTATGTTTTCTTTCCATTTTTTATTCTTTTCGTCTTTTGTCTTCCAATCCATGGTCGTAAACAGAAAAATCTCGAACCTTCACACACCGAAATGATAAGCCAACATTAATTTCATAGCGACTCGGTGTGATTTATTCGACCTTGATTGCATTTTCAGACACGACAGATAACCCTTGTATACCTTATTTCACTCCAAAAGTCACGCAATTGCATTACTACATTCATCATAGTGACAAAATTTGTCGGAATGTTAAGATTTCAAAGAGGACGCCGATTCTAATTACGAAAAAAGCGAGTTAAAAATCCTCCTATGTTGAACTCCGCGTCAAACTTTGGAATAAACAAGAAGATCATTGCACGAAAAGTATCAGTACTCTTTAAACCTTACATAATTTTTGTTTATATATATATTTTAATCTCTTGGCCTTTATTTATAGTTTGTATAAAAGTGTATTATAAATTTCTCGTTAGTTTAGAATAAAGATTTAAACTTTTTTAATAACAGATTATATAATGAATATTATATCTATTTTAGTTTCATGTAGAGATAGTTGTAGAAAATTATTGTTTATACATTATTAAAAATCTCCCATTTTCGATCAAATATCAATCAAGGAATCGTCGAGAGAAAAAAATAATTTTATCATGAATATTCAAAACAACAATGTTAATCGCTATTTTTTAAATCAAGCAATATCAGAATATCAGATGTTTACAATGATTCGTTAAAGGAAAGGTATGCCATATTTAGGGTGAATCTTTAAGGAGTACCACAGGGCTCTATACTTGTGCTGCACTTGTGCGTGCAGATTTCCTCATTAAAAGCCTCATTTTTTCCTCATACAATTAAATAATTAAAACTCAGCTACATTTGCAGCAAAACAGCTAGTTTTTAGTTCTAGGTTATCGCCGGGGTCCCTCAATGAGAAGGACTCAATTACCAATTTATAGTTTAATAATTGTGGTGCTCCAGAGTTTGGATTCAAAACATCCAAAAAAATAGCCAGGAGGTTAGGACGGATATTACAGGAACTTATTTAACAGTTAACGACACTTTAAAGAGGAAGGTTCGTTATGAAGTAAAGAAAATAGGAAAACTTTCTTTCAGGAAAAAAATCTGAAGTCAGGAAAGAACCTTGACAGTTAATAACTAAAGAAACGTAGGAATAAAAAATCCAAGGAAATGAGATGATCTGCTGGAGCCTGTAAAGGCAGGTGAAAAAACCTAGTTAATAAAGAACCTGTAAAACGATCCAGCCTTGGGGTATCATTAATTATGTTCCAAAAAATACTCATTTTGGAGAAATTGGAGGCATAGAAATTACTGTGGAGAAATAAATGATTGAATATGGACCCCACAGGTAGAACGGGAGCTACGGGAATGGCACAAAGAGAATGACACGAATTTGATAAAATGCGAATTCTAGATATTTGTTGTTTAACATGATATCCCTGATGAGATTCCACTTTCATCGCAAGGCTCATCCATACTGGGTTCACACTATCTACCATGAACACTTGACTTCCCCAAAGGGACATTATAAAATCTAATGGACTTAAGAATAAATAAATTTAAATTGTCACTAATAATATAGTTTTACTTTGTGATTTTGCCGAAAAAATGGAACTTAATTTGTGCGTTTAATTCTAGGAATATTTATTACTACTATTGAATATTATTTTTCTTTTTATTTACTCTCATATGTTAAGGGCAAATCCAAGCTATTATAAAACTCGAGTCCGAAAAAGTCCTTACTTTAGGTATGAAAGGTTAAATAACTTAAGTTCATAGAGGAGAAGTTTTAAAAAAAGTAATCATCAATGAAAAAATTTAAGATTTTTACCTACTCATTCCCTTAATTTTATCCTCTTATCATAATACTATTGGGGAAAATGTTTTTAGCCATAAAAAATGTCTAATTTTGGGCCTGATTTATTTTGCAGAAAAGTGTTGAATTTGGGAAAACTTGGTGAAAAACTAGGGGAGATTTTTCAGATTCTGAACTGTTTTAAACACCGTTGCTTTTTAAGAAATAAAAATAATAAAATAAAAAATTCTGGGAATCAAAATATAGAATACCTAAAAATAAAACGAACCTTCCATCAAAAAATCATGTTTTACGAAATTTCGAAGTCTTACTTTGAAACAAAGTTTACAGTGATGATCAGTCACTTTTTACCAGTGTGAAGTCATTCCGTTATTTTCGTGTCTTTTTTCTTCCGTTAATAATTCATTGTCTCATTTATTAAAGTATTTAATCTTTTATTGATAATTTAAGTGCTTCCTGTTGTGAAGGCCCTTGGTATTATATTTGCGCTGCTGTCAAATAAAAACATTCAAAGCTTTAATAGAGTCTTTGGATCAGGCGTGTGGTGCCCCAAGAGGGCGGAAATTAAAACATAAATATTTGACGATTATTTTAATTTTAAATTAAATACTCAGGTATTTATTTCCTCGCTACGTGATTTGGCTAAAAAAGGAGTAAGAAGGAAAAAAGAAAAAGAAAAAAAAAGAAAAAAAGAAAGAAAGAAAGAAAGGAAGGAAGAAAGAAAGAAAGAAAAAGAAGAAAGAAAATGAGGGAACGAAACTGAGAAAAATACTCGGTTCGAGACACGTACGATCAACAAATATCGATCAGATATAAATATACCAAAAGAACCTGATCCGTATTTGAAAATATATGAAAAAATCTAGTACATAATATAAGTGAGTTTACGATTCCTTGCATTGACGTGACCTGTTTCGGAATTCTCAGGACTCCGACGTAAATGTCATGGCTGTGTTGGTTCTGTATGATACGACGACCCACAGACATCCCGACTAACGTCACAAAAGTGTGCGTTCTAACACTTTGGACGATTACTTGGAATGAGATAAGGGTCAGGTGTCGTTAGGGAACCACTCTGTCTACACCATAAATACAAATCATTCCCCCTTGACATTCTGTGATATCAGTTAAGTACTCAAATAATGACTTTAGCGATAAGTTGGAGTTAACCACTTGAAGAGAATTGGGATTAAACCGTCAAACTGCTACTTTATACTCCATGGAACCCTGAAAAACCAGACAAAACTGACCACAGATATACTACTCCGAGACGATTTTCCGCGTCCTTAGTACCTCCACAAACTATCTTGATTAAAAAACTATCTATTTTAAATTTTTTTACACATCTTATACCCTACATATCTAATACTCTCGTGTAAACTAAGAAAGAATCAGAAGCTACGTAATACAAAAACGTTCAAAAAGGAAGGCTTCTTGTAAGGAAAACGATTACTAGCCACTAGAGAAAAAGATTAAATTCTAATGATAAAATTCATCGATTCGAATTCATTTGACTTTCTCTGACCTCAAGTTAGCGGACAAACGGTTGAAATTGTAATCGTCGATTTTGTCTGATAAGTATGGTTTATTATGCAATGTCGAAGGTACTTTTTACCTCGCGTCTTTTTCAGTTCTTTTCCGTGCGATATTCTTTTACTGCAGGGATAGTGCTTCGGTATAAGCCAATTAGCGGCTCCGAAAGAATGTGTTGATTAGTTTGAGAAGGGAGGAAAAGCCCGGAGAAAAGCCCTCGAAGCACGGGAGAGAACAACAAGGAAGTCTGCTTAACTATAACGGGTCCGAGTATCGAGCTCACGGCCACTTTATTAACCAAAATAAACAAGCCATATAGCCAAAACACATGTCAGGCAACTATATCCTATTCCTAGTCTATATAGAGAAATTACTGTTGCATAGCAAATTAATTATAATCCCACAAGAACTTGTCAGATTTCAACTCGTTTGAAGAATATTAGCAAAAAACAAAACTGTCTACTTGATTTTTTTCTTTTCAAACAAGACTAAAATTGCTCCTAAGATTCAACGCAAAAATTTTCTTTTTTTTTTAGAAGAGGTATTTTTTAATTTATTTTGTTAATACGTTATTTTAAGGCGCAAAGTCATATATTTGTTGCCGGAACTTCAAGAAATAGTTTTTATCGACTTACTATCATAGCTACTTTTACTACCGCTAACTGAAAATTTTCTCTGTCAGTTACAAAGAACTCTTATATATTAAAAACATTTCTTCTTGCGCGTAGTATCAGAATACCGACGTACTACCTAGTTATGGGAAAAGCTTCTCTGCAACTTGCATGAAAAATAAGTCATCACGATTAGTTTTCTGACGACATTGGCCTAACCCAGACCAACCCAACGAATGAATGTCATATTGTTCTTTGTTGATGAAGACCAACTCGCAATACAAGTGTCAACACGAGACCACAGCTGCTCGGCGTATTGACGGTTATCGTGTTTGAGGTGGTCAGAGATAACAGTCGCCTTTTCTTTTCATCGTGTAAAGCATATATTATCACTATAGTGGTGCCGTGTTAGAATATAGATTTGTAAAGATAAAAAACGGCTGTAGCTTTG